ACGTGTAATACATGTCGAATTTTTTTCTTATCGCATTACACGCTCGTGTTACGTACAGATCTTCCTTAATAGCTTTGTTTCAATATGTGGAGTATTTTTTATTCGTGGAATTTTTTTTTTCGTTAACGAGATCTCCGTTGCACATCCGCATTATTATTGCTAATTTTCGCGATTGCGACAATGTAGCGCGATAAGACGCGGTGACGGATGCGTACTCGGATGCGAGATAGCAACAATACCTGCACTATGCGCAGGATGTTGATGACCCGATCTCTGTGTGGCCGCGATGCTTTATTATATAGAGCGTGGATGAATTCTGAATGAAGCGTAGTCTCCACGTGACCAAACATTTATTAGCACACTGGTGTGATTCTGGCCGGAAAAAAAAAGTGTTACGCGCAGAGATTAAACAACGTTAACGTCTGGTGATTTTAAATAGAGTTAAACAGTGTGCTCTCATTTATATTGGAGAGCTTTCATTCGGAGCACGCGGCGAAATTGTAGGAAGTAAATGTTTTTGTTTTTCGCATTTAAAGGTAATGGTTATTTATATTGTCAAAGTTTCTTTAAAATTTCGCCCGCAATTTCCTGAAAGCGGACACGATCAACGGATAAAAATCTCCGGGATGGGAGGAGGCGGATGAATCGATAGTCGATCAGAATAGAAATGTTTGGCGTTTCCCGTGGTATGCAAGCGACAGAAATGAACCGACGATAAATATTAAAACGCACCGGTTACGAAAAGCAAACGAGACGGATGCGCATAGAGAGACGGAAGGTCGTCGAACCTTCGTCACTCTCAAACTCGTTTCCGCGGATGACTCGCGAGGAATTCAGCAACGGAATATCTCTTACCTAATCGTTCTTATATCATTCGTTACGCTACGTTTTTTTCGTAAGTCAGGCAATCAAAAGCCGCCTTTCGCCGAACCTGCCGACCTAGGTCGCTGACGCCCCCGCGAGAAAATCCGGCTTTTGTGTCTCGTGTAACTACCATTGCGATAAATCTGCGTTTGTAACAAATAGTTATATAAAAAAAAAGGAAGTAAAGAAATAAAAAGAGATGTAATAAGATGAGATTACAAGACTGAAAATTGGCATACTAAGAAAAGATTTTTTTTTTTACTTGAGATAGATTCAGCAAAATAATATTTTGATCGGAGGAATCTACACGATTGACTCGAGATAATAAAAAATCGCGGAAACGCATCGATCTGTACTGTAGTGCGATTTCTTCACGCTTGTTAAAAAGAGAGTACAAATAGTAATTAAACAAAGATAATAAGTAGGCTATCGTAGATCAGTGAAAGTCTGCCCAGATACTGATGAGCAAGTGAAAAGTCGACAGACTATTCATTATTGCAGGACAATGATACGTTGAAAAAGAGAATTTATATATTTATTTATATTTATCTTAATTGATTCCTTTCCGATTACGTGATCAGCTACACTCCTTGATTCTTTCACTTAGAAAGTCCTTCGCGGTAGCTTCTCTATTAAAATTAATGACGTACACTTTCCACGTGTGTTGTTACTTGATAAAGGCTTCGCAATGAGTACCGTTCGATTTGTTATTTACGTTAGGTGAACGCACGTATAAATATTGAAATTGTTTATTTATTCACATAAAAAAAAATTTAAATTTTGATAACATTTTATTCGATGTTTCTTTTACCATCGACGAATACGTTATTATTTTGTTTGTATAATAATCAACATGATATTCTTAAACTTTTAATATTTTTATATTACACTGTGATATTAATTTATTTGCGATGTAAATATTCGTTTTTACGTAAATCACCTCTGAAATTCAGTGCGAATTAATTTCGAGTATAATAAATTGTCTTTCGGTTTTTGATAGCTTATTTTTGTATGGCATCATTGTATAGCTCTAATTAAAAATGATATTCGTTTATTTCTGGCAAAGCATTTCTTTTTAAAAAGCGTGACGGATAATCGTAGCGACGGATATTTTTAACGGCTAACTAAGAAATCAGATCCACTCCATATCGTCGACCGATGATTTGTAAGCCGCCGGCGGAAGCCTTACATATTCAACAATGACTCACATTTCCAGGAGTGTAACTCACCCCTTTCTCACCCACGACAATATGCCACGCCATTGTTTGCCTCCCCGTCCGAGATCGACTATCCCTGCCCTACTATGATATTCTTCACCCAATTTCTCTCATATTTTTTTTTCTTCTCTCTTTCTTTTTTCTGACACACACTCTGGCACTTTTACACGAAATCACCGCAGTTTTCATTTAGACGTTTGTTTCGTTCTCGAGAGACACTGTAAGAATGGCTGTAATGATTTGTGCGAGTTTATTCGAGATTTCACTCGAATCTGATTCCACGATATTACTTGCTTTAGAAGAATGAGAAACACCAAATGATGAAAATAATCGATAAAAAGATAATAATCCGTTCGATGAGACTGAAGATTCAATGAATTCAAGTTTTTATTATGCTCGGCAGCTTTATAACAAGTTGCAACAAACGAGTGGTAATAGTTGTAATCAAATATGCGCAGCGATGCGAGGAAGTAATAATGATCTAGCCGTAATCGAGCTAGCTAGTTCGGCGATAAGATAATGATTTTATTAAACAAATGGAGATGAGATAAATACTGACGCACTTCGGGATAGAATATACTGTTACTGTCTAATGATACTGTTTCTCTCGACGTCGTGTACCATTTCGAGTCTCTCGATCAATGACGAGATCTCTGATTAACGGTTCGACGTTCGGAGAAGAAAAAAAATCTTTCGAATACGATATCTGACCTTAATGAGCTCGAATCTTACACGTGCTCGTCTAGCAATGTTCCTTATTTCTCCGCAAGATGAAATTTGTGTTGCTGCATTAGAATGCATCGACGTAGAACCGATAGATAAGAAGAGGCTGAACGTGTTATCTACTGTTAATCTTTTCTTCATTTTTCTTGAATAAACAGAAAAATACGTTCTATTTAAAATAAATAGGCTGTATCGCGCAGGTATGTTGCTGATTACGGAAGCGTTTAGAAATAATTTAGTGGTTGCTCTCCAGGATACATAAACACGCGTTGCAGGACTAAATTCAATTTTAGAACTATAGAATATGTTAGTAAATTAAAGTTAAGTGATGTCCAGTGGAAAATGGAGCTCTCTTATGCGCGGAGCAACGGTCAGGTGTGTAATGGCCTTGACTCAAGCTCAAGCCGTTTCCGGAAGAGGTTAATACCCGAAACGCATCGTTGCCTCCTACGGCTGGAGCGTGTCGTGAATGTGGTTTAAGTTTTCCTTGCTTCGTGCAAGAAATCAGTCGTTCGACGTTCGGTCGACTCTTCCTATTTATTTTTTCGAGCTCTCGTAACTTTGAAGGTCGGAAGCATATGGGCACGGATAATGTTATTAAATTTATCGACCGTCCGCGAACACAGGCCTGTAATTCGCATCGTAATATGCCGTCGGTGACCGATAAGATCGAATAAGAAAAGTTCATCCGGCAATCGTTCTCATTAGTTTAATAGTCTTCAGCTGTGGGGCACGATATTCTAAATTTACCTTCATTTTCGTTGGCAAGAGAGAGGTTCGAAAAAAAGATTCTAATTTACGAAAAAGTGATCTGAGAATTTCACGCTTAAGAACGCTCGAGTCTATTTGATTGGAGGCCGTGTACCAAAAAAAAAAAAAAAAATAATGAAGTCTCTTTTTTTTTTAAATTTCGCGGATTCGTCAAAATAAGAGTGGAATCATCTCTTTTGTTACTTTTGGATATTTTTCGCAACGTGTAACTCCTTCGCTATTCGACGTTGCGACGCATCGAATCACGGTACGTTTGTCGGTCAATTAAAAAGTCCACGGCACGATCTCATCGGTCCGGCAACGCAGAAGGAGCGAACGCATGTCGGTGAACGTCCGCGGGGGGTCGTCGACCCAAGCCGACCACCAACCGGAGGAGGAGGCAAAAGAGGAGGCGGAGGTGGAGGTGGTGGTGGTCTCGGTCGTCTTCCTCGACTTTAATGCCGAGTTGTCTTTTGCGCCGCTTCTAGGCGGCGGCACCGCCTGCCTCCGGCCTTGATCCTCATACTGAAAACCCTGGGCCGCACGATTATCCCGGTAATACGATGTCGTCACTGAACCTTGAAGCCGAAAGGCTATTTCGGCCTCGGGCGCGTGATTTGCGCGTTATATGGTTCCTCTCTGATAAACGCGGTGCCCAGAAAGAAAGCTCGATATTTCGTCAGATTGTGGAAAAAAAAAGAACTTCTCGCTTGTCTGCCTTCTGTTTGATTCTCTAGTCGATCTATCCTGCCCGATATAATATATACGTATCAAGTTTTGATTAATTGTCTTTTTATTCCTACGTGATGGATGTGGTAACTTTGAAGTAACTTTGTAGAGGCGTGTGAAGGCGCAAGCATTGTGAATAATAATAGAAAACGGATTACGTGTAACATGTTCACGTATTAATCTTGAGTGATAATGAAGAATTTATATTATATCTGATAGAAAGCTTTAAGATAATTTCATATATATTTTTTTAAGATTCTTCAATCGTGTTGATATCATTGATCGCTTCGGGATTTGCCTTTAAAGTTTAACTAATTGATGTAACGCAATTATCGATTATTATAGCAAAATCCCGAGGCGTTCAATAGCATCATTTTGTCGATGATTTTAATAGAAAAATAGCTTCTTAATGATGAAATTTTATTTATATACAAAAATATTTATATTCTATATCTATATTTCTCCTAAATTAACAAAATATTAAAAAATTATATATATAAAGTAATATAATATTATTAATATTAAAATATTATAATTACATGCACGTGGAGATTTAAATTTTATTTAAAAAATTAGTTTTAAAAACGAGTTAATATTTCCACTTTATTTAATATTAATGTTTGTCAATTTTTCGTCATAATTTCTCTTATTCTATTAGCGCCATTAACCAAAAAAAAAAAACTTCACGTATTCAATTTTTTTTTTTCTTTTTTCTAGCAATTGTTTCGCAGTCAGCCGCAAGGTGCAACGCCGCAACAGCTGCAACTTCTGCAGCAGCAGCAGCAACAACAACAGCAGCAGCAATATCTGGCTGCATCTCAGGCGCAGCAGCAGCAACAACAACAGCAACAACAAATTCCCCACGGCCCCCTACACTGTTATCAGTGGCCAGGAACCTTACGTGGGTGCGCTGATAGCTGGCGCACCACCTCCAGTGGTACCGCAGTACTATGGAGTCGGACCCTGGGTCTATCCGGCCGGATTGCTGCCGCCACAGGCACCACCCCAGGCGGCCGCGCCACCACCCCGACGACCGCTCACCCCGTCCTCGGCGGCGGCCGCGGCAGCCGCCGCACAGGACAGCGCCAACAATCTGGCACAAACGGTGAATCATCAAAAATAATTATCGAGATGGAAAAGAATAGAAACAAATGATAATTTTCGTGAATTACGTAATTACAGAAAAAATTTCTTTACCTATAACTCGATTGCGCGATGATATTTTTAGGACTCATGGGCTCAAATTAGAAACCTGTTTTCTAATTATTTGAAAATTCGAAAAGTGATTATTTCGCGACTTTTTATGAGATTTCCAATGGAATTTTAGATTTCCTTTTAGATTTCCGCGGTATGACGATGTGCATGTCAATGTCGTACATATTTTGAAATAAATTGAGCCGTGAATATCGCGATGATGCGCAACCGTTAAATAAAGAGGCTAAATTTAAACTTGACGGCGGGATAAATAGAGAGCTCACGAATTAGTGCGTACCGTGAATTAGGCATGTATCTAATTTTGCAGAAGCTATTTTCTCGCTCGCCAGTACCACGATAGTCGATGGCTTTTTTACACTTGACGTACGGCGAGGAACCGTTTGTTGTACCAATTAGAGATCGTCACATTGTCCCCCTAGGTATTTTATATCGTGACAAGTGGAAGAGACAATAGGATGCCAGACGTCGTGGTGTTCTCGACTTATAAAATTAGATTTGTTCAATTTAGAGCGACTTACATCTATTGTATTTATGTGCAGCGGTACAAATGGAAATCTCGGCGATTAGAGATTGTCACAATCATTTGATCAGAAATCAAGCTCAAATTCTCCGTCTGAGAATGAAACTTTTTATATTTGATTCGTTTTTAAAGAGTCACATAGAATTATATATTAAACTTGATATCCTGAATTTTAACACTAATTGTCTCTTGTCTTCTGTTATTCCTCGAACTTTGATGATTCAATATTATTTTCACTACAATACAAAGTAATTAATAGTAACGCGATTAATCTTCTGCAGGTACAGGGTCAGTATCAGGTGATACCGGCTTACTACGACCAGAACGGTTCCATCGTCATGGGAGGCGTGCGCGGACTAAGTTCGGCGGCAACCCCCATGAGATTAGTCAGTCCAGCGCCTGTTCTCGTAAATAGAGCCCCGTCTCAACCACCACCAGGTCCACCAGCTCCGCCACCGCCGAATCTATATTCCCAGCCGACTCCGACATCACACAGCAACGCTACGCCCGGCGAATGCTTAGGTAAGTTTGAGGAAATTCAGTTTGCCGGACTACCACCATTTTTGTAAACACACCTGTAAGAAGTCTTGTAAAGCCATGTTGTGTGTAACATTTTTGTAAAGATATTATCTTTCCCTTCCTTCCCTCTCGTCGTATAATACATATGTAATGCATGACTGTGTGCTGCAAAACGAAATTATATGACAGTCGCTCGATTATGATATAGTAAGCGTGTGCCATCATCGTTAACGTTCACATCACTTTGCCGTTTTACGGTTGACTCGTCCGTTTCCCTGTAAATACGTGTAAAACACATCCGGCACTGCGCAACAACATTCTAACTAAAAAAAATGAGAGCAGAAATACTATTGACAGCCGCGTGGTTTGCGTTTCGCAGATAGGGATGTGCGCGATAGGGTAGCAAAGAGAGACAACGCCTGTGGATCCATCAAGCAAAAAAGAGCGACACCGACACGGAGAGGGAAAGAAAGATAATTTAACCAGATTATTGCAAATAAGCAACGCCAGATTACAGAGAATTTAAATTCTACGAATAAATTAAATATGTTTTCGTGTATTATTATATCATGATTTCTTCATAAAATTACGTTGCGAATTTTCTCTCTACTTAGAAAATAATGTAGAAATACAGAAAGATAAAAAGTTTATATTACATTTTTTTGTGATCTGAAATTAGATATGATGTCGCTGAAATGTAAATTCCAAGAACGATAATAATATTAACACATGTAAAAATGGATATTTCCAACGTTCACTCGGGATTCGAACATGAGAACGTATATTTTTTTTCTATTCTTCTTTAGATTTTCTAGACATTTGATCAATATTATTTTATATAAAATTACTAAAATTACATTCAATTATTTTAAGGACGTGAATAATACAACTAATTCCTCGCGATTGCACTCTATCTTTCCTCGGAAATCGTTCGCGATACAATCGCGATCGCGGCGACTCGCGAAATCGACGTTTCGCACGCAACCGGGCGACCGAAATTCGACTTCTCCCCGGGCTTTCCTATCGGACGTCCGCGATCGCGGTGGGCACGCGACCTGTGTGTAGACCTAGGCTTCTACCGGTGGACGGTGTAAGGCTCGGTAACAACATACGCTAATCAACACTTACGACGACTAAGAGAGCGCGTGTGGGTTGCGGGCTTTTGGTGCAGGTCTGGCAGCGTGCAGCGCAGCGGCGGTGGTCGCGCAAGCTCAGGCAGTTGCGGTGCAACAGGCGCAGCAGCAGGGCTCGGGACTTGCCGCGGGTTTAGCGGCACTAGGATACGGCGGATCCCCGCTCGGGGCACTGGGCTCACCTGCCCAACTGAACACAGGTATATCACCCGCGATCGTGCTCCGATCCTCTTCATCTCTTCCTCCTCCCCGGGCACCGTTGTCGTCGGCGAATTCTCTCTGGTCTCCAGGAAAATGGCGCTTTCTCAATTCCTACAAATCTGCGAGTTTGCCTTTAGAAAAATTTAATCTTTTATACATTTTGTTTTTCTCTAAAACTAATACTAGGAGTTTGATGAATTTCTAACATTTGTATATGTATATATGTATATATATATATATATATATATATATATATATATATATATATATATATGTATGTATGTATAATCCTCAGTTTTTGTTTTATAGGATTGGAAGTTAGTTCCACAATTTCTGAAGTTATCCTGTACATATAATCAACATAACACAATGATAACTTCGAAAATCCAAACACAGAAAGAACTATTATTTAATGGTCCAACAAAATTATTTTCAAATCTATATTTGATTAGATTTTTAGATTTCAGAAACTGTTCTTTCCGTGAAGGGAATGTAAAATAAATCTATATGTATGAGAAATCTATATAAGAAATCTGTACATTAACCGGTCAAATTAAAAAGATGGGAAATTTATTTCATACGTTGCAATTGTCTAATTGTTACCGCAGTGGTATATAATAGAAAAACAACTTTGAATCAATGTGTGAAAATTTGTGTGGGAATATGTGTGTACATTTTACTTTTTTATTATGGAAAAAGGTGTCTCTGAGGATGTCAAGCTTTTTATTATGTAATTTGGATGCTTTTTTTCCTGGAACCTGGAGAAATTTCTCTACATTGGTGGTGTGTACGGATTTTTATGTATAAAAGAAATGTATAAAAGAAAAAAGTAACGTAATGTGTTTGCATGCTTCATACATACCTAATTGATTTGTATTTTCATGTAATAGTTAAGTATATAGTCAGCGACAGCTCTCTTTCAGCGACGTGCCTTTCTCGGTAGAGCGTTTGTGCCGATTTGTTGATTATTGTAATCCAATTCGTTATCGTCACGTTTCTCGTATGCTCGATATCGGTTGCCCTCGAGCATCCCGTGTTAAGATGACGGTATCCGTCTTGTGTGCAGGTTTAAGCCTCGGTGCGTCTTCAACCGGCAGACGAGATTCCTTTGATAGAAATACTTCAGCCTTCAGTCCAAGCTTGGAATATAGCCGGGCGAAGTGGCCTCAGAGTTACGGCGCCCTCGGTAAGGATCGTTTTGCTGTGTGTGAAATCTACTCTGAACATACGGGGTGTAGGGCGTCTAAAACCGTACGTCCTCGAATGTCCTCGCTGCGTAGGAAACATGCGAGGAAGCGTAAATGATAACAAAAGTTGAAAGGAGAATTACCTCCGCCTTGCTGTGCTTTCTCCTTTAAAAACGACTTTGCTTATCGTCTTCTTTTCGCATATGTTGGCATGCAACGAGAATACTCTCGAGGACTCGAGTGCGTCGTTTTAGATGTCTGTACACGACGATTGTGAGGCATCTCGGAATCGCCATAGACGCTCGATTATCCATGTTGTACATTGTGTCTTAATAATATATCGTAATCCATTTGTACACGTGCTTTTGTATACATAACTCAGCTAACGGTAACAATTCTATCCTTCTCTCTAAACTGATCCCGACGTGTATAAATTATGTTGCGTTCTGATGCTTGAAAACGCCTTGATTGTGGGAGTGAGTAAGCGCCCGCAAGGACAATTGGTTTAAAGAGCGATCAGTGTACGTCACTGTAATTCGTAGTGACTTTAACGTAATACGCCACGGGATTAGAATTAGCCTTTATACAGTGTACATTGCTTCTATACAAAGATGTACAGCGCGTCGTTCATTCATTATCAGTTGAGATAAGAAGTACTCTTTTCTCTAGATACAGGTACCTGGGACAGAATGTATTTAGCTACAAATGCAGGTACCCCCTGCAAAGAGTATACAGGTACAGACACAGGTACACATCGAGCATAAGATACGAGTGCTTAGGTTTTTATTTCTCGTATAATTTCCAAGAAATTTTGGAGTCGATTTTTGCTTGACGAATATATTTCAGAATTATTTGACGATAAATTAATGATAAAAGATCTATTGTGGCTCTTGTAATACATTTTTTTCTTTATTTAATTTAAAATTGATATTGCAAAATTAAAAAAAATTCGAAATTATAAAGACATGTAATCAAGATCAAACGCCGTCGTAAATGATAATGATTTTTTTATATTTGAGGAAGAATCGACTCTAAATTGACCAAAGAATCTATCATTGAGCGCTTTGATTTGTTATGCAGGTACAGTTACTGCGTCACCGAGTCCCTTGGGCTTGTCATTAACACCGCCACCGACTTTAGGGGGATCTCTGGGTGGTCTTGTCGGAGGAACCAATCGAGTATCGGCGGCTCCCGGTGCCGAAGCCAAGTTCCGCGCCAGCGCGGTTCCCACTCTAACAGCCAACGGCGTGTTTGGCTCTAGTAGCTCTCTGTTCCCTAATCTCGTGGGTAAACCTGGCCGCGGAGGTGCCGCTAATATCAGCGACAAGAATTCCGGAGGACGATCCCGCCTATTGGAAGATTTTCGAAATAATCGGTAAATTAATAAAAAAAAAAAAATTAATAAAATCTCTTAATGTTTTAAATTATGATGTCAATGATGAAGAATAATGCAATTTTTTGCGTCAAAATAAATTAATTTTCCTGATTATTATTTATAAACAGAATGGATCGATAATCTGTGACTTTTTTTATTATCTCGTGTAATGAGGTAGCTTATTATATTTATGCACATATCCCGTCTTGTTTAAAAATAGATTTCTATGATAATTGATTAAGATATTTATCAATTTAAGAACGCGAAGGAAAAAATTCTTAGTATACTTCAAATTCTGCCGAATACAATCGGTGGGATGTGAAAAAAAGGGAAATATTATATTGCATTACATCTCTCTCTTTTGACATCGTAATCAATAGCTTTATCTCAGCGTGTTACAATTCGTTAAACAATACGCTGCTAAATTACACGTATTCTTTTCTTCTCAGTTTCCCCAGTCTTCAACTGCGCGATTTGGCTAATCACATAGTCGAGTTCAGTCAAGATCAGCATGGTTCACGATTCATTCAGCAGAAATTGGAACGAGCATCAGCCAGCGAGAAACAGCTTGTGTTCCAGGAGATTCTATCCTCTGCATATTCCCTCATGACGGATGTCTTCGGAAATTACGTTATTCAAAAGTTCTTCGAATATGGCACCCAAGAACAGAAATCGACTCTCGCTCAAAAGGTAAATTTCAGTTATACCGAAAAATTACTTTATTCAGAGAAATTGATTGAAACTCACTTTTATGTAATAATTCTTAATACTCTGATATTAACTCGCAGCTCATATGTCACACGATTCTGAATGCATTGATAGATAATCTCGTCAATCATATTTCTGATTTTATATGTTTTTTTCTTAATTATTTTTATCTTTTCTTTATTTATATTTA